ATCAGTCTAAGAATAACTACGCCCATGAAAGTGTGTAAGCCAGCTACTTCATGCTTTTATCTCTCCCCATTTTAAATAGTTAATTTCTAATTTGCCCTTTTTAACATATCCAATGAAGTATTGGCCGAAGGCAGACTTACACACTCTTAATTGTATAATTCATATATGCAGAGAAATTATTTTAATGATCTATTTACAATCTTTTCCAATTTTCATTTCCACTGGCCAAATATGTTTCATGCAATAGTTAACATTTACTTGAACTCATCACTGTTAGAAACCTGTCATGACAGGGTTTTTAGTTCATACTACTTAACCCCTCTAAAGTACTATGATTAATAGAAAGTATATTGTTAGTATAACATCTTGCAGTGAAAGATTCACTATTCTTTTTTTTCCATCCTATGAATAAATCCACCAAAACTGATACAAAGTTAACAAAGTTTCAATGTACTTCATGGTTTCTTCACACTTACTATTTGTGGGTATTAAAACTGAGGTAAATAAAGTTCACTCTCTCTCAAACCTTCTATAGCTTACAACACATTTTCAGATTTAACTTTTACTATCTTCCATGTTCTGGGACAATTAGACATTCTGCTTTAAGGTAAAACTACTCTTGCTCCCTCTTGCTTTTCAGGCCACGTTAAAACTTTCAACTTAGTTCTTAAAATGGTTTCATTCAGTAGTCTGGACTAGACTAAGTCATTTTATGTGTGTTCACCACCCCAAAATGCTATACTTTAATGATTACAATTTTCTTAATTGGCTCAAAAATAGTATGGAGTATATTCCGATCAACACATAATCCAAAACACATAATCTTTTTAAAGACATTCCATGTTCATCTCTTCACTTTGATTACTATCTCATTCTATGCAAATGGCCTTGGGCCTTTGGCTGGGGGTAACCAAAGGTTCTAGCCTCTGGATTAATTACTTACTTTAAGAGATAACATTAAAGAAAGTAACTATTTAAGAATCTAAAGTTTCATTTCCCAGGCCCTTTCTTTTCTTTTATAAACTCTGGTGCTTCTATGAGTCTGGAGCCACTGGTAATACTGCTCTAAAAAAACCCAAAAAGTATGAAATGTTTTACAAGGGACCATGTCCCCTACATAGCAACAGACAATAAGTGATAATGTTTAAACAGAAAAGAAACTCGGATACTTTACACAGTTGAACATGCTCTATCAATTGCAAATAATTTTTAAAAATTTTTTAAGTCTCTACAAAGCACAATATTATAATCTTGTGAATTATTTTAATAAATCTTGACCAAAAGAATATGGCTCGGAGTTTGGGCCATAATTCCTTCTGAATTATTTGGAGAGTTTTCATCCCCAAGATTAAATCTTTTGGCAACTCATTGGGACATTTTTCCAGGTTGGAAATAATAGGGGGTGGCGTCCCATACATTATTTCAAATGGGGTCAGATTCAGCATGTACGGGGTATTCCTGGCCCAGTAGAGTGCAAAGGGAAGGAGAGTCACCCAGTCTCTGCCAGTTTCTATTGCCAATTTAGATAGGGTCTCCTTTAGGGTTCTGTTTATTCTTTCTACCTGTCCTGAACTCTGAGGGTTATATTCACAATGTAGTTTCCAATTTACCCCCAGAGTCAAGGCTAAGCCCTGGATAACTTTACTTACAAAAGCTGGTTCATTGTCTGATCTTAAAGTTCTGGGTACCCCGTACCTAGGTACTATTTCTTCTAAAATCTTCTTGGTTACTGCTATTGCTGTTTCTCCTTTAGTAGGGTAAGTTTCTACCCATCCCGAGAAAGTGTCTACTAGTACTAGGAGATATTTAAATTCATACTTTCCTGGTTTAACTTCGGTAAAATCTATTTCTCAGTGATAGCCCGGTTCTCTTCTCTGTACCCTATGAGTGTTCTTTTTCTTCTCTATTTTAAAAGAAACACAAGGCTAAGGTGCCTTGCTACACACAGCTCTTTCCTTCAACTCTGCTCCTTCCCCAAGCTCCAGGCAGAAATGGGGAAATGAATCTTTACTTGGGTCCCGCTCTGAGCTGGGTGTGGGGAACAAAGCAGCCACGGGGGCAGGAAACCTCCCTCAGAAAAGGTGAGGGTTCAGGGATCCAGATTGCTGCAAAGTTGGGGGTGGGGGGTCTGTGCCCCACCTCTGTTGGCTCTCAAGTTCTCTCCTGATGGCCCCTCTGCAACTGTGCCTGTCTTAGGTCGTTCCTTCCCTGAGGAATCTTACCCATCTTTGGCTAACCAGCCATCCTCCAGGGCCCAGCAGGGTGATGTGAGGAGTGACGTGAGGGATGGGCTATGCCCTGCCTCTACTGTGAGCGTCACTTCTGCTTTCTTGGTAATTTAGCGCCCCCCCCGTGACCTCCATGCTCAGTAGCTGCTGTTGTGGGATACCTTCGCTAACCGGCGGGCCCCGGCTCTGGGTACAGGTCTTGGGGAAAGGCTGTGTGCAGGCCTCCCTCTCTTTCTCTCTCCTTCCCCGAACTCTGGTAAAGAAAATCTTTGCTAACTCTTTCTGGTTCTGCTTGTTCTCTTTATCTTGGAATTCTAGCTCTTCCTTGCGTATCCGCTCTTCCATTTCTTCCGGAGTTTCTCTAGTATTATACACTCTTTCGGTTACTCTCATTAAATCCTGTAGAGTCTGTTCACCTAATCTGTCTATTTTCTGAAGTTTCCTCCTGATATCTGGAGTTGCCTGGTTTACAAAGGATAAGACAACGGCTGCCCTATTCTCATCAGCTCGTGGGTCTATGGGGGTGTATAACCTAAATGCTTCCATTAACCTCTCTAGATACACTGCCGGACTCTCTGTTGGTTCCTGTTTAACTGAGTTTACCTTGGCCAAATTAGTCGGCTTTCTGGCCACCGCTCGGAGACCAGTTATTAGAATCTGGCAGTACTTCTGGAGACGCTCCCTACCTTGTGGAAGCTCAAAATTCCAACCAGGACGAGATAACGGGAACCCAGCGTCAATTAAATTCTGAAGCGTTGTCGGCTGCCCATTGTCTCTGGGCATATTTTTCCTGGCCTTGGTCAAGATCCTCTCTTTTTCTTCAGTGATGAACAAAACCTGCAATAGCTGCTAACAATCATCCCAAGTGGGGTTATGAGTAAACGATATAGAATCTAACAAATTAATTAGGCTTTGGGGGTTTTCAGAAAAGGGGGTATTCTGCGCTTTCCAGTTATACAGGTCCGACGTTGAAAACGGCCAGTACTGCCAGGTTCTGCTTCTGTCCTCATGAGGCGGGCCTATCGCTCTGAGGGGCAGTGCCTGGAGCCTCCTGGGAGCCCCTCTGGCATTGGTGGAGACTGGAGGCTGGGCCCGTAATGATGGGCGGGGCACTTGGAGCACTCGCTCCACTTCCTCCCAATACTTGTGGAGCCTGGAGAGGGTGGGAAGGTGGTGTAGGGGTATAGGGAGGTGGAGACACGCTACTTTCTAGATCTATCAGATTGGGGCGAGTTTGGGAATCAGACAAAACCGGTGGAACAGCTGCTCGGGACTCAGGTCATCTCGGTTTCTCCTTTTTGCTAGTCCCGAGTGAGGATGTTAACACCTTAACAGAGAGATTCGGAAGAAAAGGTTTTAGCCATGGGGGAGGGTTAGTTACCATATCTTGCTACACTAAAATGTAAGGAAATTAGTCCGGGTGCCCACGGGGGCCTGGCACTTGGACTCGGTCGAATACGGCTGCAATCACTTTTCCATCCAACGAGCCTTCCGGAGGCCATCCTACCTTAAGAGAGGGCCATTCTGAAGAGCAAAACGTTATTAGTTTATTTTTCTTAACTATCACAGACAAATTAGATCCTCTGGTTTTAAACTCTGAAAAATGTTCAACCATCAGGGACAGAGGGATAGTCTGTCCCTGTCCCATTTCAACCTCCTTTAAGAAAACACAGAACAAATAAAAGACAAGTGGCCACACAACAAGAGACACCAAAGCAGACAACACAAATACCCGACACCCAGAAGAGATCTCGTTCCAGTACCACAGATTGGAGGTGCTTCCGCCCCTCCCCTGAAGGGGGCTGCTCTTACCAAAAAGTGCCCACAGCCTGCCTGTGAGTTGGGGAAGGGCTCCTTCCCCAACTCCTCTGGCGCGTCCGCCGGTTTCCCGATCCGGCACGTTCACCGGTTTCCAGCCTTTCCTGATGGACCAGTGTCCTTATGCAAAGGATGTATTCTGGTCCCGCCGGCCTCCTGAAACTCTCCTACTATCGCAGCCAACTTCGCTCGTTCCGAATTTTCCTTCCCAGCCAACGCACCAAATGTTGAGCCCACGTTCAGAAAGAAATGTCGGCGCGAGGAAGTCACCACTGACACGATAATGCAAAAGCAAAAGGAAAGTTTATTTGCTAGCTTGAGCTAGGGTCCCTGCTCTCACAGATGCAGCGGCTTGGGCAAAAGACCCCGTGCTCTCTTACTATTACATTTTTATAGGAAAAATATAGGGTGGAGTAGCACCAGGGCAAAGGGGTACAGATGATTGGTTGTTGCTAAGGGGTTTAGGGCAGAGCTCTGAAACATGGGGGGACGTGTTGGAATCCCCCGGCCCTAAAGTCTGGTTAGGGAATTATTATCTAGGGAGGATGTAAAGCCCTGATGCATGGGAGACTTGCAGGAGCCGGGTAAATCTCTGATACGTGCCGGAATCCAGAGGGGAGATAAAAGCCCTGAGGTGTGGGACATGTTAGAATCCCTGGCACTAAAGGCTTCTGGTTAAAGAATTACCTGGAGGCCATTAGGACTCAGGCCTCACACCTCCAGTGAGATCAGTCCTCCCACTAATTCCAGACAGCTCTTAAGTGGACCCAGCCCTTGACGCCCACTGTGACTTGACCTCACCTGTGTCATGTTGGTGCCCAGAGGTGCCACAAGAACCCTTCGGTACCTCCATGCTGTAAGCAGGCTCTCAAGTCTTTGTGGCATCCTATGTCCTTGGGGAAGGCCAGCAGCCCTGGCAGCTGCACCAGACCCAGTGCGAGGTAGGAACGTGGCTCACCTTGCCATGTAATGCCCACGCAGCCCTCCCATGCCCTTGGTCCTCTGGGAGCCCTCAGCCCCCCAGCTGCCGGTGCCACTCTCCTCAGTTTCTGATCCCTCCCTGTCTTCTTCCTCTTCCTCTTCTTCTTCCGGGCTGCTGTCCCAGCAGAAGGTCACTGTCGAAAGAGAAAGGGAGGCTCCCTGGGGCCCAGGTGCCGCCCTGCAGATGAGGAGCCCCAGGTGGTCCAGGAGAAGAGCTCCTGTGGCTCCTCTGCGGGGCCCGAGTCCTCAGGGAACTCAGGTAGTGGAAGGGGCTCCCAGCGCCCGTCTCTGCCTCCCCCCTCGCCTGGCCCCTTCTTGGCCAAAGAGCCAGAAGTCCTAGCCCTCATCCCAGGAGGGGGACTCCAACATGCTGGCCCAGCTTCTGTCTTCAGAATCCCAAGCAGAGGAGCCTTCGGCCTGGCCCAGAGTCTGGGAATACCCCGAGTCTACCCCATCTGCCTCAGAGCACTGTGGAATCCAGTGTCCTTGCCCCAGGAAGGAGGGAGGCTCAATGTAGGGCTGGAAGCTGATGCTGTCATCTGTGACCTTCTCCTCCTCCTCAGCCCTGTCCTCACAG